GACTTACACGAACCTCCCTCTCGCTTTCTTGCTCCACCCGCGGTCTCGATGCATCAACAGCTCTCGAGTATGTTCAAGCATTGAGGACGGCCACAGACGTCTCCAGGATGATCACTATAGTCTCCTTATACCAAGCCGGGGAAAATTTGTACAAGCACTTTGACAAGGTATATTATGAGCATCTCTTTGAAGAAGTAGTTCCGTTCTCTAACCCTTGTTCATATAGGTCTGCGTCATTTACGAAGGAAAATGCGCTTCCTTCGGTCCCACCTCTGAGGCACGCTAATATTTCATCGACATGGGCTATGAACCCGTCAATCGTCAAACCACGCCCGACTTTTTAGTCCACGCCTGGCTTTCTAATCGCTGTCACTGACCCGAACGGACGTATTCCTCGATCTCTCTCCTCTTCTCCTACGTCCTCTCCCTCTTCTCAGCCTCCACACCAAAAACATGATCCACCGAGTTTGCGGACTACTTCAACCGGTCTCGTTATGTTCTCCTCAACCGTCAAGATATCAATCAGTACAAAGATAAAATGGTCGGAAACCAAAAGGCGAAGGATGCATATCAGAGAAGCGCTAGAGGGGAACACGTCTCGATGTCAAGGAAAAATCCGCTTATATCGTTTCGTTGGGGTTGCAGGCTAGGGAGGTAGTCAGAAGGAGGTTGTTTAAAGGCGACGTTTCGAATGTGTTGTAAGTGGGAACTAGTTACCTCTTCGACCGACTTTGCGTGCTTTAGCTGATCCGAGTCGCTGTGTTATAAACGTCGATAGCTCTTACGTGTTCCAGGCTATTATCACCAGTACAATTTACTTGAAGAGTTCTGGATTGACCTTCGACATGGGCACTGTCCCCTTCATCGATCAAGCCGCTTTGTTCCTGGTGGATCTCCCAACCTCGTTCCTTGTAATTAATACCTTTGGTGTCATCATTTACAAATCGGTGCAATTGCAACAGACTGTTGGACAAGTTTAGTACGTGAAAACCTGCTTTTTGCTCTTTAGCAAGACTAATTAATTTGCGGATTGGAACATATATCTCTAGCGTGTTGCTTTGATTCATCTTCTCTCTCGCTCTCGCTATGGAAGGCTTCTTCAGAGCTTTAGCGGCTGCTTGTAAGAGCGAATGTGAGTCGTCGTTTCCTGATCGTATTCTCATGTCCTGGGATTCCTGTGCCTGGGTACTAAACTGATTGTTTCTACAGCTGCCGCGCAGACTTTTGCCTGTATTGTCATCTTGGTGTCGCCCATGTATCCAGGGTATTTTTTTACTCAGCCGAGTATGATAGATGCTCTTAGTTGGATTTCGTACACCAACGTGAGCTACCTGTTCCCTTCCTAGTTAGTATCTTTCTCCTAACGTTGCTCTTGTATTAGCCGCTCTGTTATGGTTTGAATTCGTCATGACGGACGATTTCCGGACCCTCAGCGGTGCCTGTGATTCCCTAATCCCTAGCGGGCCGGGATACAAAAACATCAATCAAGTGTGTACCATGGTGGATGGCAATCCCAACGTCGATGGAAAGGGATTCGTTGCGTTGTCCTATGAGTATAGTTATTCTCGTACCTGGAGGGTGAGTCTAATCAAGACTTTTGAACTCCAACCATCTCGTCTTAATACGTGTCAATTAATACAGAACTTCGGTATCCTCATCGCTTTCGCCTTCGGATTCATCGCTCTCTGTCTACTCTTCACTGAACTCAACACCCGCACCTCGTCCAGCACTTCTGTCGTCTTGTTTCTCCGGAGTAAAGCCAAAAACGCGCTCCGTCCTAAATCATCTTCCTCATCTAACGAAGAGAAAGGTTCGGCTATCGCTGTGGTGGAGGAAGTCTTGAAAAAAAGATGAACACCAAGGCTACGGAGGAGGCTAAGAATTTAGCGACCACGGATGTCTTGTCTTGACAGAACATATGTTATACCGTTCCTGTGAAAGATAGAGAGAGGAGGTTGTTGAATAACGTTTCTGGGTTCATAGCTCCTGGCAAGTTTGTTTTCTTTCGTTATGGACTTGATGGCTGCGGGGAGTTGTGTTGCTGATTTTTTTTTGCTCTGGTAGACCACTCTCCTCAACGTCATAGCTCAACGTGTTAGCACTGGTGTTGTCACTGGAGATAAATTCGTTAATGGTCATGGGATTTCTGACTCTTCTGCGTTGACATAGCACCTTCTGCGTCTCCTATCAGTTCTCATGAAAACTGTCAACAAACCGATACGCATCTCGGGGATCAAACGGTCCAAGAAGCTCTCCTCTTCTCTGCCAAGCTCCGTCAACCAATCTCTGTTCCAATAGCCGGGAAGGAAGCTTAGTGAGTCGCCCGTGACGCTTTTATACAATATGTTTCATGCTGATTTCGTCTTGAAATGTGTGGACTTGAAGCATTCAGAGACGCTGCCGTCGGAACACTTCATGTCGAGAATCGTAAACGTACGACGATTGGTGTCGAACTTGCTGTCAAGGTGAGTGTATCCCAATCTCGGTTTTGATCTATTTCTTAGCTTTTGTTGGCTTTGTCTGACCTTCATCCCTTCTGGATCAGCCGAAACGACTCTTGTTCTTGGACGAGCCAACCTCGAGATTGGATTCTCAAGATGCTTGGGCTATCATGGTGTTCTTGAGGGACCTTGCGAATAATGGTCAGGCAATTCTTTACACGTAAGCCTTTTTCCGTTCTATCGTCCGAATAATCGGTAATCATATTTGTATTTCAGCATCCACCAGCCCTCTGCAGTATTGTTCCAGGTACGCTTGTCTCCGACCTGATTGATGACGTTACTCGGTCTGATCAGTGTTTTTGCAGGTCTTCGACCGTTTACTCTTGCTTCGCAAAGGAGGCGAAACTGTTTATTGCGGGGATGTTGGTCACAACGCTACAACTCTCATCGATTACTTCGAACACAATGGCTCGAGGCGTTGTAACCCGTGAGTAATTGCTTCTTGATCCCTCATCGTAATATACTCAACCTCGTTCCCAGATCTAGAGCCGACTTCATGTTGGACGTTATCGGCGCAGGTGCGACCGCCAAGAGCATCATCGGCTGGTACTCGCTTTGGGTAGCCTCTCAAGCTACTGCTCTTCAAACCCAAATCGAGAGGATTCATGGAGAGGGCCGAAAGAAAAAGATCGTCGAGACTACTCAACACAGCGAATTTGCGATGCCTTGGATTCATCAACTTTGGGAGTTGTTCAAACGAGACATGCAGAGCCACTACAGGAACCCAACTTACCTCATGTCCAGGTTCGTGCTCTCCATCTTCGCTGGATTTTTCATCGAATTTTCGTTCTTCAAGAGCAAAAATACTCAGCAAGGAACCCAGAACAAGTTTTTCGTCAGTCCTTCGCTTTTGATGCTACATGTCATGGTCTAACATTGTGATTTACAGTCGATTTTCATGAGTACTATCATTTCGTGAGTTTTTGTCTCTAGTCCATGATCCAACAACTCTCCTGACCTTTGACTTTTTATCGTTTAGAGTGCCACTCGCCAATCAACTACAAGTTATTTATATCAACGTTGTGAGATCTGTGAACGCCCAAGTCGTACTAGTATGTGCAGTCGGATAGCATTGATAGCTTCTCAGCTTCTCGTTGAAATCCCATGGAACATCATTGGCAGTTCATTTTTATTCTGCTGGTACTGGACAGTCGGATATCCTTCAAGTCGTGACGGGATACACCTATCTCATGGTGTGAACTTCCCGGTATATTATACCACGATCGGTCAAGCCGCAGCGTCGATGAGTCCAAATGCAGAGATTGCAGCACTCCTTTGCAGTTCCATCTTCTCATTTGTTATTGCATTGTGCGTTTTTCTGTCTTAATTATTCTTCATTTCCGTTATCTGACTGTGTTGATAGCAACGGTGTCGTTGAGCCTTTCCGCCAACTTGGGTGGCGGAAATGGATGTAAGTTTTCTAACAACTACTACCCATTTCTCTATGCTGATTCACTGATAGGTATCGTGTGTCTCCGTATATGTATTTGATTGAAGGTGTTCTTGGACAAGGTATACTCTTTTTTGCTCTCAAATATCTACAAACATCCATTCTTCTCTTTCCATAGCTATCGGACAGATGCTTACGTGTAGTATCGCCCAACTCGAGCCTCATTTCCGAAATATGGCTGGTCACTCTGATCACGACGTGTGCCAAAACATGTCGACGCGTCCAGGTATGAAGAAGTGTACACTCTGTTGAAGGCTGCACAATCGCAGATTCTATCCTGATGGCTCCGTTGCGGTACCTACAGTTCATAAAATAAAAGCCGCTAGAAGTCTCTGATGCAGTCTTATTTTGTCTTATATCTATTCGGCAGCGAGATGATACCCAACAGTTCGCCGCCCCTCCATTCTGAATCCTAAAACCAACACTGGCATGGTCGTCACTTTATGGACATGCCTCGGAGTTGGAATTCAGAACGTTTATCTAGGTTCGATGACTTGCTAAAGCTCGGAAATGCTCTCTTATACTAAGCCCGCTCTTTCGTCGAAAATACTCGTAAGTATGACAAAATTAACAGAACGCCGCTCCTTATGGTTAAAAGCGGTCGGCGATACAAAGATTTAGGTTCGATGATTCTTGATAGTTTGGATTGCATGTCAAAAATCTTGGTGGTGCAGTTCTTATGGCGCAAAGCAGACTTTATTCGTAGATATAATACTGCACAATGATCTATTCTCCATCTCACTGCTTTTTATGCATGCCGTAGGCATGCTTCAAATCCTTAAGACTAGCATTAAGCATTAACTGACGCTACTAGCATATGCGTAGCGAGCAAAACAGGCCGTGTACGATGTATATTTCCCTCCGCGAAGCGGAGACAGCAGAGGGACAAAGCGAAAATGCTTGGGGCGAAGCCCCCAGCGACAGGGGCTGAAGCCTGAGTTAGGATGCTCGCGTAGTGAGCCTATCCGCGGCGTCAGGCGAAAGGCCCGGATCCCAGCTGGTCATATGAAGGTAAAAGTAAAAGTGATAACTTCACGATGTCTTCCTCATGGCGCCAGCAGGATTCGAACCTGCGCCCTCTGAGAGGTACAGACTTGCACAATTATTATGATCGCCATGGAACTTAGTCTGTCGCCTTGACCACTTGGCTATAGCGCCGGTAGAGCTCTCGGTTCTGGGGCCTTGTGTCGGCTGCTTTAACTCAGAGTAGATACTTATTGTGATTTGATTAAAAGCATGACACGTCACATGATCTCGCTTGTGGGGTGTCCTACTCAGAGTACTCTTTCCGGGTGCGCCGTTTACCCTTAGTCGCTGCAGCTTTTGAATCATTCTCAAAGCTCTGTGTTCCTCTCGCTCCCAACTCGTCGGAAAATTCTAGCCCACTTGAGGTTTCCAGTCTACGAACTGCCCTGCCGACGGAGACTCCACAAACCCTACCAGATCAAACAAAATACTCGACGGTCATTTATGAACCAACTGGAATGGCGCATCTCTCGTCACCTTCTGGAATCCGTGTTCGCTCTCAGTCGAGCATACCTTCGCGAGAAGCTCAGTATTTCACCGATCAGGTCCGGGATTTAGCGGAAGCTCTTAACGCTTCTGCGTTGATCTGTCGCGCTCCTGCAAGGAACGGAGAACTGGCAATGCTTCAAGGCAAGTTAGAGGTTGGGCTTGAGGAGGTTGAGCAGTTGGATCAAAAGTTGGAGGGCGTCTCCTGAACAGATGTTGCGGACATTTATCGCGTGAGAGGGGATCTGGAGCAGAAAGGAATACTTAATGGAAGATGCCGATCAACATTATGAAGCCGCTTTGAGGATCCTGGAAGAGTTTGACTAGACTTTTGGACAGTTAGATGGGTTAGAGTTTAGGTATGCCCCATTGGTCATTTTAGTGCTTGCATTTCCGACTGACTGTACTTTAGAATTCACCGAAAGGATGCCCGGTCGCGTTAATCCCTTTCTCCTCGACTGTTTACTCGTGCACATGTATTCGGGGACGTTTCCATAACACCTCCATTGTCCCCACCCCTACTTCACGCTCAGGTGTGCTGATGGTCAAGCTAAGCTGGGGAGATCCAGTCACACGTCTACTGGAAAAGTATTCTCGTCTTAGACCAGACGACTTGTTCTCGTTCAATCACTTTCCGTCGGCGAAAGTGCCTCTGGGTATGGATAAAATGAGCGCACCCTATTTCACGCTCATTCTAATCCCTATGAGCTTACCCTCATGAAGGTGAGCGTTACTCGTTACTCGTTCCCGATGTTGCCTGCTAACCTTTTTTTGTGTAGAGTCGGTCGACTCGCTGAATTCATATGTCATCGAAGTACTCGACACTGTCCCGGAAAGCGTTGCCTCAGCAAGAATAAACAAGAAACGAAGGAGAGTCTCAAAAGCGACACGTCTAAGGGAAAGGTTTCATCTCAGACCAGAAGACAATTTGTTCTTGTTCGATCCGTTTCCGGGTCAACTTCTGCGGGCGAATTTGCATCTGGGTATGTACAAAATGAGCATAGAACGGCGCTTTCCCTTCCTAATGTCCCACGGCAACCAAAATTCTGCCTTTCGATAACAGTGCTTGCTTAAAATGGCTGTCTCGGACGTGTCTCGTCGAAAGTTTGGTTCAAGAAGGTTTGTTTCTCCATCCTCTCTTTTGTTGTTGGTTTTGAACGCCGCTATAGGGCTGTCTGGGTTGTCGAAGCCTTGTTTGAGGAGGAGCTTTGGATTGTTTGTACCTCCAAAGTTTCGCTGCTGCTGCACCGCTATCAAGTCAGGGCGAACTCATCAAAGGGATGCCCAGCCACGTCAATCCCTCTCTCCTTGACTGTCTCGTGCGCAAGTATTCGGGGACGTTTCCATCATCCCGTCCCTACCCCTACTTCACGCTCAGCTACCGCCCACCGCTGATGGTCAAGCTAAGCTGGGGAGATCAAGCCACACGTCTGATGGAAAAGTATTCTCATCTTAGACTAGACTCCAACTTGTTCTCGTTCAAATGCTTTCCGTCGGCGAATGTGCCTCTGGGTACGGATCGAATGAGTGCACATATGCCGCGGCAACCAAACAAATTTCTGTCTGTCGATGACAGAGCTTACTTTCTTGCTATTGATGCATCTTGTTCGAAGTTTGGTTCGTAGTTTGGTTCAAAGAAGGTTCGTTTTTTCATTGTCTCTTTTGCTCTTGGTTTTGAAAACCGCTCTATGGCTGTCTAGGCTTCTGCTCACGCCGAGGCCCTATTTGACGAAGATCTTCGGCTTGTCTGTATCCCCAGGTCAAGGATGGACTCATCGAGGGGATGCTCCACAACGTCCCTTCTCTCGTTGATCGTTCGAACAAGCACTAACTCATTAGCGCCTAGTAAATGAACATGGGCTAGGCAACAGCTCCTACGCGCTGTTCAGCTTTCCGCAGCTTGTCTGTGTCAAGGACGAACTCATCGAGGGTATTCTCAGCAACATTCCTTCTCTCGTTGATCGTCCTCATGCAGGAACAAGCACTGACTCATTAGCGCCTAGTAAATGAACATGGGCTAGGCAACAGCTCCTACGCGCTGTTCAGCTTTCCGCAGCTTGTCTGTGTCAAGGACGAACTCATCGAGGGTATTCTCAGCAACATCCCTTCTCTCTTTGATCGTCCTGCGCGCAAGTAACCTAGTGACGTTCCTAGAACATCCTCACCATTCTGTCTCCACTCCCTACTTCACGCTCAGCCATCACTCCCGTGTTATGAGGCCGCCTTGAAGATCCTGGAAGAGTTTGACCAGACTTTCGGAAACTTAGATGGTTTAAAGCCTATGCCCATCTTTAGGCCGGTGACGTTCAAGCTTTGGACAAGATTGGTACCTCGGCGCGAATTCGATCCATTCCTTCGTCTTCAACTGTGTCTGATACTTCGCCTTTTGAGAAGGGCCCCTCGTCAACAAAGGAAAAATATAAGAGAGGTCAAGATGTGCTTCGGTCACTTACAACTCTCTGTGCCGGCCTTGCTCAGGTGACGACCATTCTGGAGAAAATGGACCGGTCAGGTAGCTACTTTAAAGTACCGTTTCAGTGCTGCGAAAATACTCAGAGTCTACAGATGAAAACGCCACACGTATCGGAGACACCTCTATTCTCTGGCCTCGGCCATATTGTCGCAACCAACTGACGGATCTGACAAGGAAGCGGAACAAATCGCCGGAAGGTTATCGGGACCGTTGACCGAGCTCGACGCGCGTCTGTCAAGTTAGCCGATAGCAGTCCTACGAGTTCTACATCTCTCCCGGACGGTGTCCGCGAAGCTGTTCTGTCGTTGCCGAGCACTATCACTAGCACCCTTGAAGCGGTCATCGAAAGCGTGCGTCCTTCTACCTTTGTTATGTTTCGATGTTACTTGACACAAGGACATAGAATCCTGATTCTCATTACGAATCCCTCGACGTTCTATTCGTCTTTTCGCGTGCAACCGTATACCGTATCAACAATGGACCCTGGAACGTATAACCTAGCAAACGAGTATTTGGCGCGTGCAGTAGTGCTCTGCGATGCTGAAGGCTCTAAACTTGCCAATTCGAACTCTACAACTGCATTTACGTCTCCATCTACGTCTTCGTGTGTTACCACCAAAGACAAAGCAAATTTTATTCGCTGTACCTCTGGCGCATTCCACGACCTCGGTGGAACTCTATACACAAGCGGTCGCTATTCCTTTCTTGTAGGAGGGATGTAAACAAGAATGGGAGGCTTTTGAAGTCTGGAGAAGAATAGGCGAGAAAGACGGGGAAGGGTCAAGGTGATGGGAAAGTTGACCCGTGAAAATGTTGAAGGGACAGATTTAGAGAAGATGGCAATCACTGGCTGTTTGTTATATCAAGACGGGGGATAGACGAGTAAGATTTTCTGTCACCCGTTTTTACGTCGACGCTCCGGTCTGACTGGCTTTTTTCTTCGTGTCATAGCCAGCGTATGAAGCATTCCAAGAAAGCATCAAAAATTTACCTATGTCGGAAGCGGGTTCATCACCCATACTGACAGGAATGGTTTCAGCGGCTGGTTCCTGACGAACCCTCGTGTACGTTATTTTTACGATTCGCTGAACCATCTATATTGACTGATAACGTCGCGCGAATGTACGCAGCTGCTTTGCTAATAAAGATACTGAGAAACGATGTCTAGTATGAAACTTTAAACCGAGGGCCAGACGTTGTCTAGCAGGCTGTCGGAAGACAAGGATGCTCCTCTCTCCAAAGAGTATACCTGCGAATTGCTCAGGTAGAGAAGGTTGCTATAGCACATCAAGTTGCTTAATCCAAGTGTCCAGGGATGATTCGTCAGCCTCTCTACAAGGTCTCCCTTAGTCGCTGCGACTGTGGAATAGAGCTTTTGAATCACTCTCAAACTCCATGTTCCCGTCGCTCCCAACTCGTCGGAAAATTCTAGCCCATTTGAGGTTTCCAGTCTACGAAATGCCCTGCTGACGGAGACTCCGCAAACCCTACAAGATCAAACGAAATACTCTACGGTCATCCATGAATCATCTGGAATGCCGCATCTCACGTCACCTTCTGGAATTGATGTTTGGTCTCAGTCGAGCATACCTTCGTCGAGGTTCCCTGCGAGAAGCTCAGTATTTCACCGATCAGGTCCGGGATTTAGCGGAAGCTCTTAACGCTTCTGCGTTGATCTGTCACGCTCTAGCAAGGAACGGGGAACTGGCAATGCTTCAAGGCAAGTTAGAGGTTGGGCTTGAGGAGGTTGTGCAATTGAATCAAAAGTTGGAGGGTGTCTCCGGAACAGATGTTGCGGACATTTATCGCGTGAGAGGGGATCTGGAACAGAAAGGAACGCTTAATGGAAGACGTCGATCAACATTATGAGGCCGCCTTGAGGAGTTTGACCAGGCTTTCGGAAAGTTAGATGGGTTAGAGTTTAGGTATGCCCCCATTGATCATTTGAGTGCTTACATTTCCGACTGACTGTACTTTAGAACTCACCGAAAGGATGCCCGGTCACGTTAATCCCTTTCTCCTCGACTGTCTACTCATGCGCAAGTATTCGGGGACATTTCCATAACACCTCCATCGTCCCTACCCCTACTCCAAGCTCAGGTGTGCTGGTCAAGCTAAGCTGGGGAGATCAAGTCACTGGAAAAGTATTCTCATCTTAGATCAGACGACGACT